TAATTAATCCAGCTCACCCTTTAATTAATTCACCACCCCTTTAATTAATTCACCACCCCTTTAATTAATTCACCCCCTCTAATTAATCCAGTCCACCCTTTAATTAATTCACCCCCTTTAATTAATTCACCCCCCTTTAATTAATTCACCCCCCTCTAATTAATCCAGCCCACCCTTTAATTAATTCACCACCCCTTTAATTAATTCACCGCCCTCTAATTAATCCAGCCCACCCTTTAATTCACCCCCCCCTTTAATTAATTCACCCCCGCCCCCTTTAATTCAGTCCCAGACATAAAATATCTACCGGTACTCACATTTCAAAGATTCCTTGCCGAGTCCGACCACTGGGTGCCTCACCGCCCGGAAATGGATCCTTCCGCTGAAGATCCGTGAAGGCAGACTGACGGCGCTGCGAAATGTCGTCATCATGTAGAAGAAGGAAGTCTAGCCGCAAAGGTGCAATGCTAGGGCTTATTTTCGGGGTAGGGTTTATTTTCAGGGAAACACGGTACATAAAAATATCTAAAATTCTGTGTTGTACCAATTAAAAAACACACAAGCATTGCAACTAAAGTGTAACTTGGCAAAACTGATTGCCTTTCAAATACACATGTGAATTATACCTGAAAAGTGTTAAAAAGTGAGAATCTTAAAGAAACACAGACACACACTGTCTGCAATGCCGGCATTGCACATAAGGGGTTAATGACACACCTCTCATCTACTAGCAACATAATGCACTTGGCTGTTTATAACTTTTAAAGTATGATGCATTGAAATACCCCTAAAAGGCAACAATGTGCTCTTTAACCTCACAAAATCAGTCTATTGACATAAAATCACAGTTTTGGCCTGGTTTTCAAACAACGTTTTCAGATATAATAATGGTTACTGACAGAATTTTTTTGTAAAATTTGAATTGTGATCACTTTTAAAACTGAAAACCAGCCCAAAATTAGAAACCATCTTTGATCAGTTACCAATGCTGACTTTTAGTATAGGTCTTTGTTTGAAATTACGACATAGAAACAGAAGCATAATTTGATCACATGCATTGTATCTAAAACAAATAAACATATGCATTGTATCTAAACACAAATGATAACATATCCTGATTTATTGCAAGGAATCTGCTGGTATTTAGAGGGAGGCAGTGTACTTACCATGTATCCAGGATGTAAAAACAAAGTCTTTCTGGGAGAATAATGCCGAAATACAGTAAAGACAGTTGTACCAAGCATCTATATTCTCCAGTCATGCATACACTTTACTGGTTATACACAGTGGAGAAACTACTGTCACTGCAGCAGGTGTGCTCATTCCAAAGCGTAGAAGCTGGGGGATCCATCGGGAGGCCCTTTGAAATAGGGCCACCCAATAGGCATCTCTCATCAGTGGCCCGTTCTGGCACCGCTGCCTCCTTTAGTGCACCAGATCAGGGCCCTATCAGATCAACCACTGTTCTTGAAGGAAGAAATTTCAGGTCATTATCTACCAGCTTGCTGAAAGCCACATGGGTGAGGAAAGAAGTGTGGGAGAATAAGGCGAAGAGCAGACAGAAAACTTGGAGTCTGAGAACCTCATTGGCCTCAGGCAGCACTTCCTGCAGTCAGATCGCTACAAAGCCACCAGGAGAGTGGCAACAATCCTGTATGTGTCTGTATATGTGTGTGAGTTTGTATATGTCTGTGTCTCTCAGTGTGTATCTCCATCTGTGTGTCAGTGTATGCAGTTGTGTAATTACTGCTACTAGGGCGCAATGCTTTATGTATCAGAAAAGGTCACATCTAAGCCAGCACTAATACTGGTAATGGAAGGGCTTAAACTAGAATCCTAATCATCAACTAGAAAGGACTAAAATAAAAAATTGTCCAAAGTTGAATGTTCCTCTGTGCAGGTGTAATATATATATGTATTTTAGTTGGAAGTTGCATCAGAAGCAAATTAATGTTTTAAAAGGAAACAGAGTATATAGACCAATTAGATGATGGTGAGATAGCTCAGTGGCCTAATGCATCATCAGTAGAATCTGTTCAATCCTTGGAGGTCACAGGTTGACTCAGCCCTTCATCCATCCAAGATAGATGAAATGAGTACCATTAAATTAGGTAATGTAACATCCCCTCGATGTTGGGCTAAGGTAACATCCCCAGGGCGTACTTGGAAACCAGAATAATAACTTTGTTACTATTACTAGCTTGTGTCACCATGTGTAATCAAAATTTCTCAATGTTACTGTTTATGGTTTATACATTTACATCAGAGACTTGATTTTAGGCTTTATTCAGTATTGCTTCTATAGGGAAATAAATCACATACAATTACTTAAAGGACCACTCTAGGCACCCAGACCACTTCAGCTTAATGAAGTGGTCTGGGTGCCAGGTCCTTCTAGGGTTAACCCATTTTTTAATAAACATAGCAGTTTCAGAGAAACTGCTATGTTTATCAATGGGTTAAGCCTTCCTCTAGGCCTGTCTCATTGACCCCCAGACTAGATGCTTCTCACTGTGATTTTTTGTAAATTAACCACTGCGGCCAGCAGGAATGCTGGCAGCTTGCCGTCGCGCATTCAGCCAGGGGAACGGAGGAGAGAGAAGGAGAGGAAGCCCCGGCGCTGGAAAAAGGTACGTTTTTAACCCTTTCCCCCTTCCAGAGCCGGGCGGGAGGGGGTCCCTGAGGGTGGGGGCACCCTCAGGGCACTATAGTGCCAGGAAAACTAGTATGTTTTCCTGGCACTATAGTGGTCCTTTAACAGTGTATTAAATTTCAGTTGCTAGGGGTCCTGATGTTTATACTATCCACATAACTTCAACAAACCGATCTTATAACTTCAAACTAGATATTATTCAACCAAGCTGTCTGTGGCTGTAGCACAATATACCATCAAATGGCTGTAGATATTAAAATGGTACTGTCATGCCAAACTTACATTTCTCCTATTATTTCCTCTTTTTCTCTCTCAGAATCTGTTCTTCTTTTCTTCCTTTCTGATCTAGTTTTCGTTAAAACATAAGACAAAGTAGAGACTAAGTGAAAAAGTGCTAACATACTAATTGCACCTGGCGCGTTTCAGTGCTCTTAATTGCAGCTTCAGCAGGCACCATTAAGTACACTGTACACTATGTTACGATTGCTACATTAAGGATCAGCTACACATTCCTTATGTAACTGATACAGCTCCCTCTCTGTCTAGACAAAGGGCAGAGACATTGTTTATATACATTATACGATTAGGACAACTATACTAATGCACTGGTTAGTGGTTAATCCCCCTTACCTGCTTCTGGACTTTACAAAAGACTTGAGCCATCACCCTAAGGCACAGTTTAGAGGACAACTCACTTTTCCAGGTCTGGGACCCTATTTCAATTGGCTCTTAGGTATTCCATTAGTCACTGTACCAGTATATAAATAATTCCATTATCAAGGTTGGATCAATATCCTAACTGTTAGTCTTTTACTTGTTATATGTTTACTTTTTCTTTTTTTGTATATAGTTAGGGGATTTTGGGAGGAAAGGATTTTAGCATTGCTGTTTTATATATCCTTTATTAAAAGTTAAGTTTTATTTTATATTCTTATATATGTGCACAATCTCTCAGGGATCCACTCGCCAGGGTAACATTCTGTACCTATACCCATTTCTCCTGATGCCTTTTTTTATTTTTATTTGCTATTAATAGAGAACTTTAGACTCTAGGGTTAAAGGAGGCTGCATGATAGACACCCATTCCAATTAATTGCCCCCTTTAAGTACACTGAAACACACGTCAGGTTTAAAGGACCACTCTAGGCACCCAGACCACTTCAGCTTAATGAAGTGGTCTGGGTGCCAGGTCCAGCTAGGGTTAACTCATTTTTTCATAAACATAGCAGTTTCAGAGAAACTGCTATGTTTATGAATGGGTTAAGCCTTCCCCTATTTCCTCTAGTGGCTGTCTCATTGACAGCCACTAGAGGCGCTTGCGTGCTTCTCACCGTGATTTTCACAGTGAGAGCACGCCAGCGTCCATAGGAAAGCATTGTAAATGCTTTCCTATGCGACGGGCTGAATGCGCGCGCAGCTCTTGCTGCGCGTGCGCATTCAGCCGGCGGGGCGTAACGGAGGCGGAGAGGAGGAGGAGAGCTCTCTGCCCAGCGCTGGAAAAAGGTAAGTTTAAACCCCTTTCCCCCTTCCAGAGCCGGGCGGGAGGGGGACCCTGAGGGTGGGGGCACCCTCAGGGCACTATAGTGCCAGGAAAACAAGTATATTTTCCTGGCACTATAGTGGTCCTTTAACACTGAATGGAGACACAGCACATGATGACTCCAAGCACTATAACCTTCACTGAGATTATAGTGCCTATAGTGTCCCTTTAAAACATAGTAAGTATTTAGTGCATCTGCAATAGGACTAATGCATGCTAACATAACTACTATTAGTAACAGATGTAGCAATAAATTAGTCTCAGTATGGTGACATTGGTAATCAATGGGCCTATGAATACAGTGCAGAAGTTGGCATCCGATACTGAGCATTTCCAGTAAGGTGCCAGATTGTTTTACCATAAGCCAATTATTGCAAAGCAGATGATCATTGAAGGGGAATAGCTGGCATTGTTAATAATCTGGGCTATCAGTAACTAAAACCCTCTTCTTAGATAGAAATGTATTGTTGTGCCGATACTATTAATAAAGATGTAGAAACCTATTCCAAATACCAAGAAGGCACAAAGCAAGGTTAAATTGTAGTGTAAGAGTGCCATCAATAGCAGAGTTGGCTGGTAATAATTAAATGAGTAGATGATTATTTACTAAAGTAAGAATTGTTGGGAATATAAAGTATGAATTCCAAATATAAAGCCAACGGAGTGGAAATGGACAAATTCTCTATGTCATCTGCGCTTCCACTTTAGCTATGTTGGCCTTAAATTTGAAATTCCCTTTTAATTTCTGATCAATTTCACTTTAGTAAATAATCCTGATAGTGTACATCTTACCTGCTCTGTAACATGCACAATGACAGCAGACACATTGCTACAGTGACATGATAATGAGTAAAACAAAATGGAAAAAATCCTTGACAAAAGAAATATCCCCTCTCAATGAGATGGCATCAGTGTGGACAATACCAGGCTATCCCAGGCATGAACCCAATTTGTAGACGAGAACACAAATTATTAGTGGATCTTTAACAGAATGGGGATTCTCCTAACTGGTAAAGGAATACACACAGACAGTAATGCTCTCAAGGGATACCTAAAACTATGTGTGACTATTAGAGCATGAAGTAGAAAACGATTCTCAGAGATAGTGTAGCATAGAGAGAGCACTATGTGCAGACTGAAATAGAAACAAAAAACGAAAATTGTAGTATAATGTTACTAAAATAAAATAGAGGCTGTAAGTGCAGAACTCTCCCAAATCCCACTACAATGGGTACAGAATGAAAGAGGAAAACTGCAAGTAGGCTAACTTCCACAAATCTAAATAGAATCACTGACTTCCTATGTGTAGAAAGTATAGTCACAGTAAAGAGAGTCAAGGGATATGGTACAATCCCTTAACTGTTTCAAGGGAGAAGCAGTCCACAAACCACCACTGGGATAAAAAGGAGTAGTTGGAAAATGGGAGAGATAGTGAATCTATAAAGGTGCCATAATTGCAGTGCAAGACGTGCAAAGTGAAGAATGTGTGAATCAAATATCCCGAAACGCGTTTTGGTGCATAGCTGCGCCTTCATCAAGAGAGAAACCTGCAATTAAAACAGTGCTCGTATAAAAGGGAATAGAAATCCCTCCTACTCAATCTGGCAACAAATCAAGTATGTAGAATTAAACTCACCACATCGGAATTAAATAATCTGAACAGGACCTCCACTCCAAACCTCCTAGACTGAACACATCAACGGTATCACAAGAGAGAGGGAGTGGAAGGGGCAGGCTAATAACCAGGACGATTTTTGCATGCTGAAATTTTATTGCATTGTATTTGTTTTATTACTGGAGGTCCCTAAGGAAGTTCATACAGAACGAAACGCGTAGGACCTGGGCTCTATGACATATTTTATTCATATTATTGATAATTTTTTATGTTCTTTTTTGGCACAATAAACAAGATTTTTATCTAACCTGGATTCCTGACCTTTCCTGTATCGGGAACATCAGGGACAGTGAGGAGGTCTACTTGGCCCCTATTATCCAGGGGAGGCACCTTTAAGGCGATCTTTAAGTCTTCATCTTGTGAGTGCAATCTATTACAAGCGTGTCAATTGACTTTGTTTTGCAAAATCACACTTTGTTCCTATTGATATATATTGTTTTTAGATGTACAGCTGTATCCCTGTTTTCCTTGCACATGCATTTTTAATAATCAGAATGCCCCAGCAAGGGGATTGTGCTCCAGCTGAGGAAACTCACAGAGGAAGCTCAGTTTTCATGGCCCACACAGAGGTCCCTTGATGGGCCTAATGTGCTCAGTGCTGCAGTGAGGCCAGAGATTTTCTGGTATGCTCTTTTGCCAGATGCAGACCCTTTGCTGTGCCCCTGGAAGCTCTGGCATTCAGAGTGTTGCTGAGGCTTTTTAAATTGCAAAGCAATTGGAACATTAAATGCAAAAGGTTGGGCATGTCAGAAAAAATAACGTTTTGTAACTTTTCTAAATGGAAAGAAACAAAAATTATTTGGTGAAAAAAATAAACCCTACATGTTTGTGGATGTTTTTATCTTGTCATTCTTTTTTTATTAGACATGCCATCATTACAATACAGCACTATAGTAAGATACTTGTTATGTCATCCCAAGCATTGGATTGCTATGGATATGTGGGAAACCTTAGGTTTGTTTTTTTTTTTAAAAACCACTTTGCTATGATTTGAGATAACTCTGCTGGACTGCACCTATAGATTTTTCTCAAACTAACCATCACCCTAACTACAAAGCCCTCAGTGCTATGATGTTTGAAATGTTACCTTTTTAAATATCAAAGGGTGGATCAAATAGATAAATTGCCCTAGGTGCCAATTACCCAAATACACCTCTGTGATATTAGCTAGATATCCTATGTTTATTCTTTATATTCTTATTTTTTTCAGAATGGCATTTTCAAATTCCAGAATCATAGTTACATAGCTGAAAAGAGACTTGCGTCCATCAAGTTCAGCCTTCCTCACATCTGTTTTCTGCTGTTATCCAAAAGAAGGCAAAAAAAAAAAAACAGTTTGAAGAACTTCCAATTTTGCAACAAACAAGGAAAAAAAATCTTTCCTGACCCCAGAATGGCAGTCAGATTAAACCTTGGATGAAGAAGCTATTACCCTACATTGAAAAATTATATCCTTGTATATTCTGTTTTTGCAAGTATGCATCTAGATGCTGTTTGAACATCTGTATGGACTCTGATAAAACCACTTCTTCAGGCAGAGAATTCCACATCCTTACAGTTCTTACAGTAAAAAAATGTCTTTGCCTTTATCAAAATCTTCTTATTCCACACAATGTTTTGTATTGGCATCGCATATACTTGTATAATATTATCATATCCCCTATGAGGAGATGTTTTTCTAAACTAAAGAGGTTTAAAATAGTTAACCTTTCATCATAGCTGAAATATTCCATTCCTTTTATTAATTTTATAGCCTGCCTCTGCACATTTTCTAGTGCCATAATATCCTGCAAACACTGAAACATGACTTTCAATGCTTTTTTCAAGATCATTAATAAACATGTTAAATAGAAGAGGTCCCAGAACAGAACCCTGAGGGACACCACGTGCCACCACTTTACCATTAATGACAACTCTCTGTAATCTATTTCTAAGCAAATGTTCTACCCAAGAACAAGAATTTTCATCTAGACCGATTTCTTTGAGTTTGAACACTAATCTATTGTGTGGAACTGTATCAAATGCCTTGGCAAAATCCAAATAGATCACATCCACTGCAACACCCTGATCTATACTTCTACTTACTTCTTCGTAGAATGCAATCAAGTTAGTTTGATATGACCTGGGCTTCATAAAACCATGATGATTTTTGCTGATAACCACATTCTTCTCAAGGAATTCATGAATATTATCCCTTAATAACCTTTATAATGCTTTTCCAGCCACAGAGGTTAAGCTTACAGGTCTATAATTTCCAGGCAAGTATTTTTAACCCGTTTTGAATATAGGAACCACATCTGCCTTCCTCCAATCATCCGGAACACTTCCTGAAAGAAAAGAATCTTGAAAGTTTAAAAACAGAGGTTCACTTATTTCTACACTTAGTTCCTTAAGTACTCGTGGATGAATACCACAAGGCCCTGGAGCTTTGTTTATATTAATCCTTTCCTATATCTATGTAGCTTACAAAATGTCACAGTTAGATTGCAATAAAATTATTACTTTGGTAATTATACAATTAATAAATTGAACTTATAGGTGTCCTCTCTTAAATGTTTTGTGTTTTTTCAGTGCTGTATTGCCTTTCTTTCTCCATAGAACAAATTATTCTGTTATCTTTCATAGTGTGTAATAAATCCTCCATCCACCAGGTCCAAAAAAGGGCCAAAAAAAAAAAAAAAAAACCTCAAAACTGAACTGGATAGAAGTTAGATCTTTTTGTGGCATTTCTCAAAAACGTCATTAATCACATCATTACCCAGTCATGTGGGTAATATCTGTCTGTATGGGTCATTATGTGTGTCTGTATGGGTCAGTATGGGTGTCTGTATGGGTCACTGTGTGTGTCTGCATGGGTCATTGTGCGTATGTGTATGGATCATTGTGCGTATGTGTATGGGTTATTGTGCGTCTGCATGGGCCACTGTGTATCTGCATGGGTCAGTGTGTGTGTCTGCATGGGTTTACGGAACCCTTCTATGGTTGAATAGCATGGGTATTTGGGGTATTTCCCAGGGACTAGGCCAGAAAATTGTTGTTGGAAAATATATGCAACTCATTTTTCAATTATTTATTTTGCTCTATAATCTGAAATCCCCATACCAATCATTGACCATTCCTGGTCAGGACCGGATTAACATAGGGGCTGATGGAGCTGCAGCTCCAGGCCCAGGCCCATGGAATAGGCCCATTTAAAAAAAAAAAGATTAGTATTTGGGGCTGCCTGGCCGTGCCGGTATTGCAGTAATACCGGCAATACAAATGCAGATATTTTTCGCAGTATAAATGGAGATTATTCTGCAATACCAGCACCAGCCAGTAGAGGTCACTGTGTGTGGAGAGAGGCAGGGATAGGAAGTTACAGCATATCCCTCCCTGCCTCTCTCTACTCACTGATCCGTGGGGGAACAGCTACACAGCGCAGAGAGTTCAAACAGCAGTTCCCAGTCTGCAGACAGACAACAGCTCAGGGAAGTGAAGGATGGGGGGAGGAGGCAGCAGGGAAACATGGGGACACTGAGACACTTGCACTGAGAAACTAGGGGACATAGGGACATTGGGAGACACTAGGGACACAGTGTCTCCATGTCTCCCAGTGTCCCCATGTCTCCCAGCTAATGTCCTTAGTGTCTCAGTGTCCCCACGGCTCCCAGTGTCCCCTAGTCTCCCAGTGTCTGTGTCCCCATGTCTCTCAGTGTCCCCATGTCTCCAAGTGTCCCCAAATATCTTTCTCCCAGTGTCCATATGTCTCCCTGCCAGTGTCTCTAGTGTCTCAGCGTCCCCATGTCTCCCAGTGCCCCCAAATGTTTCAGTGTTCCCATGTCTCCCAGTGTCCCCATGTCTGGGTCCACAAATGCCCCCATGTCTCACAGTGTCCCCAAGTGTCTCAGTGTCCTAATGCCTCCCAGCCAGTGTCCCTAGTGTCTCAGTGTCCCCATGTCTCCCCATTTTTCCAGGGGGGGGGCATAATTGTAATGACATCCATGCTTGGTACCTTTTTGACAGTGTCATGAAAGGGAAGGGGCATAGCCATTATCACATAAAGCCAGGGTGAATAGCGTTTTCACAACTATGGTGTCAGGAATATATGTTTGTATTCCTGACACTATAGTGTTCCTTTAAGCAAATTAAAGGACCATTCTGGTCACCATAACAACTTCACCTAAATGAAAATGCTATGATACCAGGAAGCCCCTGGGTGCTCGCTTTCCTTTAAGGGGTTAAATAGCTCTCAAATGGTTTAACCCCAAAGGCTTCCTCCAGCTCCAGGTCGCTCAGTGGTATTTGGCTTCTGAAACAGAGTGTCAGGAAGTGCAGATTGACGTCAGGCATGGGTGCCGCTGATTGGCTAGAGTGGAAAGTTGACACTCTAAGCCAATCGCTAGTTCCCGGTTCATAAAATAATTTAACTTTTTTATGAATGGGGAGCTACTGATTGGCTTAGAGTGCCAGCTGACCGCTCTAGCCAATCAGCAACACCCCTACCCAACGGCACTCTGTGCTTCCTGACACTCAGTAAATAAAAGTGAACACATTAATACTGATATTTTTTTACCTTTGGAGATGAGAAGGTCCAGCGTTTCCCTGCCTGGCCCAGGTACCAAAGCCTTATGATGTGGTGTCCAGAATAAAGTGGAGGGTTCACTTCATTTGTCCTTCCTGCTCCAATCTCCTTTTCCTCTCCTTCATTTGACAGTCTTTTTTTTTTCTTCTGACACTGTTTTCTATCCTTGGCCCCTTCTGCTCTTTTACCTTTCTGCTACTTTCTGCTTATTTAGCGCCCTTCTGCTCCTTTCTCATTCTGATCCCTTTCTGCTCCTTGCAGACCCTTTCTGCTCCCTTTTCTACTTTACCTTTGTGCTCCTTCTGATTCTTTCAGCTCCTTTACCTTTGTGCTCCTTCCTGCTCCTTGCAGGCCCTTCCTGCTCATTCTCCTATTTTACCTTTGTGCTCCTTCTGCCCCTTCAGCTCATTTCTGACCCTCTCTGCTCCTTCTACTTTACCTTTGTGCTGCTTTACCTTCCAGCTCCTTGCTGACCCTTCCTGTTCATTTCTGTTCCTTTGTGCTCCTTCTCCTACTTTACCTTTTGTGCTCCTTGCTGTCCCTTCCAGCTACTTGCTGTCCCTTTCTGCTCCTTGATGTCCCTTCCTGCTCATTTCTGTTCCTTCTCCTTTTCTTACTTTACCTTCTTGCTCCTTGCTGACTCTTCATGTAGGCTGTCTCCCCCATCCCTCACTTCCATAGGCATGCGCACGGGGTGTGTCGGGTGTGCCTGGGCACACCCTAATCCCAGCAGCACGCCAATGGATTGAGACCGGCAGGGGAGATCTCTGGATCTCCCCAGTTGGCTCATGCAGAGCCAAAGCTATCCGAGCGGCAGCTCTGGTCTAAGCCTCCATGGGCCGGTGGGGAGATCAAAGTTCTACCTCACCGGTCCACAGCAGCATGGAGGGAGGCAGCAGAGAACCCGGGCTAGAGTTCACTCTCCACTGAACCACCAGGGAAGGCAGCAGGACTGGGATATTAACTAATCTGCCCCCACCTCCATCCAAACATACATCACACAAACACAGCACCTACACACAGCACACACAGCCCACAAACAGCACCCACACACATACATCACCCTCGCACACACAGCACCCACACACATACAACACCCACACACACCCAGCACACTAACAGCATCCTCACAAACACACAAAACCACACACAACACCCGCACAGCACCCACACACAAA